CCTTTATTTTGAAACCATGCTTTGCATACTTTTGCTGTGTGGCATGGAGCTGAATCCTGCTGAAAAATAAATGGTGCATTGTTGGGGAAGAGATCCCTGATGGAAGGTATCAATTTTGGTTTCACAACAGTTTTGATGTATTTTTTGGCATTCAGGATGCCATCAATCACTTGAATTCAGCCCACACCATCTGCAGTCATACATGCCCAAATCATGACCTTTGTTAGGTTTTTTGTAGTTGCTTCAATGCAATCAGAATGAAGTGCTTCACCTTCTCTATGTCTCACGTATTTTTTACCATCACTACCAAAGAGCGATATTTTACTCTCATCGCTCCAGATTACTTGCTTCCATTGATTTTCTGACCATTTAATGTGTTCTTCGCATCGCTTTTGATTTAAATAATATTTATTCCTTGGAATTCAAGCTTGTAGTTCAAATCCTGATAACCTTCTTCTTATTGTTCCTGAACTTACTGCATTCATTCCACATCTAATGGCATCTGATGAAATTTTTCTATCTTGAAGGCATAGCTGTTTAATTTTTCCATCGGCAGTAGCACTTGTGCATTTTTTTCTGCCTGATTTGGCTTTATTTTCCACTGATTTCGTTTTTTAATAACGTAAAAAGAACTTTCGTACACCAGAACAAGTCACTGAACCACCAACTTGTTTTGCAATTTCAGCATAAGAGAGTCCTCTCAATATGACAATTCGACTTCTTTTTATATATGTCCAATTAGTTCTTCTTGTTGATGACATTGTTTAAAATTAGTTTAATTAAAAAAAAGGGATTTTAAATATTCAAAAACAGCAATACTCTATTTAATTGTACTATAGTGTAACGTCCCATATCCGGACGTCCTTTTTCCGGGAGGGTCGATTTCCGGGACACTTTTTAACAATCAAAATAAACATCTATTCTCTTCCCCTCTCTTAAAAAGAAAAAAAGTCTTTGGACACACGTTTTTTTTCCTTTTCCAGCTTCTAGTGATTCCTGCATTGAACTCATAAATCAACAGAAAGGGGAATAGAAGACCAGAAGCATAAGCAATGCTCCTCCTCAGGAATGCAGGAAAGGGGGGAGATTTGTTTTCAAAAGAGCACAACTGAGTCCCCTCCCCCCTTCTTTCCTTTGCAGCTGGCTGGTAAGGGAGGCATTTCCTGGAACCACTTTATTAGAGTGTGAGGGGAAGAAGAAATACTCTGAAAAAGGGTAAACATATCAAATGTTAAAGTGGAGGGGGAGTCACTTTCAGTCACACAAGAAAAAATAAAGAGAACCCAATCAGCATGCCACGCCTTTATGCTTGATTGATGGCCAATGATGGGAGAGAAAATAAGAATTTGTCACTGCCCCGCCCTCAACAAGTAAGGAGGAAATGAATTTTCTTCTCCACCTACCCACCTTAATGAATGACTGGAATTTCCCCTTCTTGCATGATTCCTTCTAGTTCAAAATGGTGGAGAGAGCAATTAATGTTTTCTTAACTGTCAATTTTTTTTTTTCGCTTACTATATTTTAAGCAACAATTATTATTTTCTAATATTTTGTTTTTGATTGATTAGATATCATTCTAATGCTAAAACATTATTTCCCTTAAAAATAATGTTTATTTATTGTTTGCTTCTTGGATTCAGATCGTTTATTAGATCATTTTAAGCTTTATTTTCCTTGGGGGTCTATAATACGAAAAAGTCTAATATCCGGACTACCAAAAGTCCCACCGATTCCGGATACGCGACTTTCCACTGTAGTATGCATCATTCCGCAAAATATTTCCACAACAATAACTCTTTTACCATCCAAATAACCTAAACTATAGTTACAGACATTTGATTGGTCCTTAGAACAGTGTTTGTGTTTGGCTAGTACGCTTTTATTACAAAACAAGTCCTTATTCAAAACAATTTGTGTTTGTTCTACTAAAATGAGCATATTTTTTTTTTTGATACAGATATTTTAATTCTGTATTTATTTTTAAATTCTACATTAAATTACCTTCAATTTGATATATAAACGTTTGTATTTAAGTGAAAATTAATATATTCTACAAGCACACAAAGTCGAAAAACATGAAACTTTCAAAAAATGCCCACACTGTATTAATACTTTAGAAACAATATTTTGTCGATATAATCGGGTGACTTGAGGGCAATATATATCTTTTCTGTTAGTTGTTTGGTTTCCTGGGTTTTTTAAGAAAAGACAAAAGTGACGTGTACGCAACACCCTTGAATTCTGAAATGGATCTGATTGCTAGAATCATATGTACTGCTGCGGATATCCAGAAAAATCGGGTGTATTGAGCCATTAATCCATGGCCCGACTGTATATCTAACTTTCTTAGGATGTTTCCAATCATGGTTTGCTATGCAATTCTGAATCTTTGGGATGGCCCCTACCTCCTTTTAAAGTAAATCCCAATAATTTTGGGACACACCATTTATTAGTGCATACACAAACATATATATGTATATGCATATATAATTATAGATATTAAAATTATAGATAAAACATGGAAGATAATAAGGATTAATGAAAAGAGAAGAAGAAAGTGATTTAAATCAAATATTTTGAAAAATATTTAAAAAAAAAAAAAAGACTTTTTTATTTAAAAAAAATATTAAAAAGCCAGGAAACAAAATAAAGAAAAGATATAATCTCATCAGCTCATACGATTATATTTGCAAAAAGGAGTGCTTTCTAATATTATATCAATATTGCTAAAGCAAAATATATCAATACAATAGTATAAGAAGGGCTAAAAAAATGTATGTCTTAAAATTGATATATATATATATACCATATTTTTCGGCAAAAGCGGCGCTTCTTCGCAAGCGCCGCACCTCGATAAAAATGAAATTTTTTTAAAAAAAATTATAGTAAGCGCCGCAATGGCGCTAAACCGCGTATATCAGCATCCTTTTAGAAGAGACCTTTAAATTACCATTTAGAATATCTGTATAATANAGATGGGCCAGTTTTAAATTCACCCCATCATAATCTACGATCGAAACTTGACTAAATTTATTGGTTTTTCTGAAATTAACAGTGGAATTGAATTATAGTAATATTTGGGGGCCATATTGGAATTTCCGAAAGAGATCCGAAGTTCGGCATTTCGTCAGTCCCGTGAGTGTCGGATTCAGGGTCCTATTCTTCCTTTTCTGTTAGTTCAATTGCCAAGGCGCTAAATAGATTTCTAGCTTGCGATTTTTCTTTAAGCTGGGGGTGGATACAAGATGTATACCTTTTAAATTTTCTCCTTATGCGATGTTTTTTTAAATTTTTATTTCGTTTATTTATTTTCTTACAGGCTGCTGCCGAAAGTTTGCTAAGAATTGGCGATGTTCTGCAACAGATCGCGATACGGGCGAATATTTCGTCGACTTCGTTATTAATTTTTTTTAATAGTCTTTCTCTCAGAAAATTATTTAATCTTAAATAACTTTCCTTGACAAATTTTTTTGCTACTAAAAAAAATATTTCGTTGGAAGCGCCGCATGTAGGAAAAAAACAACTTTTTTTTCGATAGCGCCGCGGCTCTTCCGCAGAAAAATACGGTATATATATATATATATATATCTTTAGTGTTGAAATGCAAATTTTAAGGATTCATGATGAAAGAAGAAAAAAACACATTTAGAGAATGAAAGTCCTGTGCAGGTGTCAGCATGATGCTCAAAAACTGTTACAAAAGGTTCTGTACACTGCAAACTACAAAAAAAATTCTTTCATAAATTCAATTTTGGCAATGCCAATGCTCAGTCATATCAGCTCATCTTGATGCCCTTTAATCTTGTTTCATTCATATGAACGCCGATTCCCTTGTTAACGTTTCTAAATGACACGTTCAAATGCATTTCACCCCTCTCGGTCACAGTGTTTTTTCTCGTTCTGTTTTTTTAATCTTTATTTTTGTTTCACTCTCGGCAACTTTAGATTTTATATTTCAAATCACATTTGTTTCTTCGCAGTAATGTCTGCAAGTCATGAGAATGGTCGCCTATTTTTTGAGCGCTTGAAGTGTGATACTTTTATTTTCATCTGAATAATTTTTAATCGAGTTCTACCTGGTTTGTTCAAAATGGCTCCTGGTGGCGCCATTCCCCAGTCTGCAACAGTATAAAAAATTATTCCTGTATTTACTCAAGAATGCTAGATGTGCTTTTGGTGCCTGCCGAAAATAAGAATTTGTTCTATTAGAATGTCCAGAGGTGTCATATACACTAGTGATTTGAGATAGTCACATGAATTGAGATCTAAAGATTGCACAATGAGTCTTTTCAGTGGCGTCCTCCATGTTAAGAATACGACTTCAGCCACATGCACGTCACAGCCTGTTTATAGGGCGGACCCATTCATTCTAGCACAAATCGTAATTTTGACCTGAAACTGAGAACGACCCATCTCCAATTCAGTACCCCAAAAGGTATTATATGTTATGGGTACATGGATGACTTTGTGACCCTACAGATTTAACGTGCACCAGTCTCCATTTACTACAAAGGGAGTCTCCAGCTGGTGAGGATCAAACTCATGACCCTTTTGACATGGACCCAACACCCTACCAACCAGGCTGTCGCGGCACGTAAAATATTTAATATTCATTAACAATCAATCATATAACTGTAAAATCCAGGAAAAACTTATTTATTTATCTAATAACTATCATGCTTATGCCATATTCCTTTCTATATGCAATCTGCAGACTATAAGACAAATTGAGGGAGAACTTGTTGCAGAAGAACAAGGCATTCAAACATATGTTTTTCAGAATTTTTAGTCTCTCAACCTAGTTTGCCATTTTATGTTTTATTTTAAGTTTTCATCATCTTGATGATTTTTATCCCCTCTCTAATCGAATTTTAGAACAATCTACATAGATATGAGTGTGTGTATATATATAAATGTATGTAAAAGTACCATTGAGATTTGATTTATTAAGTTTATTAACTGCGCACTAGCAGCATGTACATAGAACCTTTTATATAACATTATAAAATAAAGAAATAAAACGAACTCAGCGAAAAGGAATGAAGGAGAAATCAAAAATATTGTTTTAAAATATTGTAAACTAAAGAAGAATAAAAATTATTTAAAATCTTTTTTTTGTTTTTGTTTACATTGTATATACAGTTTAGTTTATTAACTGTGTACTAGCAACGCGTGCATAGAACTTTTAATATAAAATAATTGCAAAGAAAAAGAGCACTAAGAAAAAAAAAAGAATAATAGAGAAAATAAAAGTATTGCTTAAAAAGATATTTTAACAAAAGAAGAATAAAAATTATTAAAAAAATCTTTTGTTTTTTGTTTTCTCAATATATTTCATAGATTGTTTTTTCCTTTTTGTCTTCTAAACCATTTGTAGCTTAGACTAGAAAATTTTTTGTGAAGCATATTCTACTACTATTTTCTGAATAATTAGCACTAAAATCTATCCTATTGCATTTACTTTTTTATAAACAAATTAATATCCATCATATACCATTTTATATAAAGTAAACCTTTGCTGTATAATTTCTATTCCCCCCCCCCTCTTTTTCACAAAACTATAATCACTTGAATCGACATATTTATAAATTCAATACTTTCCATTCTTTGTTATCATTAAATATTAAATTTCATAAAATTGAAATTAAGAAAGTATAAACACATTTAAAAACTTTATATATATATATATATGATCTTTTCATAGTAATTGCTGGTAAACAAGTCAGTTGAGTTATACATTTCTGAAATTTGAAACAAGTTCTATTTTAAATTTAAAAAAAATCTCTGATTTGAAATTTTTTTTTCTTTGGTTATTAATTTAGTTATCATAAGGCTTTGGTTGTTATAAATTTATTTTTGAAATACAGTTGAACCTGTTTATCTCGAACCTCTTTATCTCAAAAACCTCTATATCTGAAAATTTCTAAAATTCCCCACATTTACTGTCTAAAATCAATGTATTTTCCAAATTCTATGTTTATGTCTAAATTTTTTATTTCAAAACCTCCGTTTCTCAAATTTCTAATAATTGAGCACAAATTTCAAAACTTTATCAGTAGAACTCGTTGACAGAGATGAATTTCGTGAATCCACAGGAAGTAGGGATGAACAGGTTGGGGGTGTTTCTTGAAAGCTGATCTTAAGAATGATGTGAAGAGATGATGAACAAGAGGGTGAAGGCATCAGTAAAAGAGAAGAAACTGTTAATGCTGAAAATGCAGTGCTAGATTTGCCAGAATGGAATGCAATAAAATCTAGATTTAATGTTGACATTAGTTTTGAAGATTTTTGTAAGTGGACAACTGCCTGGCAATATGCGGAACATTGACATATATGAAAATTATAGATAATGTTGAAGTAATATCAGATGAAGAGGAAGAAGCCGAAGATCATACATATTGATGAATCAAAAGTGAATGCAAAAGAAGTAGAAAAAGCTGTAGAATTCTTATAAACTACTCTTGAATCCAAGGAAAATGTTGGCTATGAGGAATTTGCGATCTTTCTAACCTCAAAAGAATAATCGAAACAAATAAGGTTATCAGTCAAAAATCTTGGAAAAATTATTTTCAGTGTTAAATGTATGTTAAAAAACTGTTATGTCAATAGATGTATGTGGTATAATTAATTTCAAAAAATGTTTACATTTTTCTACTAAAAACAATTCAAGCACTTTTAATAGAATTTCTTAATTAAATTTAATTTTTTTATAGTACCTGTATAACTCGAAACCTCTTTCTCTCGAATTTTTCGCCCTTACTGTGAGATTCGAGATAAACAGGTTTGACTGTATTTTCATTTATTTAGAATTGTTGTTCAAATGTTGTATTTGTGATAAATGCAGCTCTTATGAAAATTGTTTCTTAAAAATTGCGATTTAAACAAAAGTTAAACATTCATTTTAGATATCTATGTCTATTTTTGGAGTATTATCGTTTGCTTGGTCTGTTTTACAAACCTTTAGTTGGTATAGGCGGTCTGGGAAGAATGCTATCGACTTAGTGGTAAATATGACTCCTTTATACTTAATTGCATTTGATTTATTTATTTGCATAGATAGGATAACAACAAATGTGTCCATGTTGTGAAAACACCAGGAAACCCAATCCACTAACATTGTTTAGCATCTATTGGGTTATTACCTCTGGGTTTGACATATTTCTTTCTTTTTTTAAATTCTTTTTAAGGGGAATTTTTTTTATCAAATAAATAGTTCTGAAATGACCGAAGTAAAAATTTGTTCTCTGAAATATAGGCATGAAAGTTTTCAGCTTTTACTCTGAATTCAGCTTTTTTCAAAGCTTTTTAAGCTCCATACATTTATTAACTTCATAATGTTTGATTGTGTTTATGTAGAATTCAGCTTTTTTGGCTAACTGGTACTTTCATTCCTGGAAATAACAAATTTATATCAATGTAAATTTAAGTTACATCAATGCATTCATGATTTTTATGCAACACTATTTTAATTTTCAATTACTGATTAGCAACAATTTTGGTTAGCAAAGGGTTAGTTTGTAATTGTCAAAATTTTTGTTAACAAGCACTCATAACACTCATAAAATTAAAATAATTTTCCCTATAGTGATACAGAAACAATTTTATATTAAACTAAAATATTAGTTTTTGGAAATGGATTTTCAAGTTACTAAATTGATTGTTTTTTCCCCCTTTTTTTCATTATTTTTATGTATTTATATATTTTGTTTCTCTTCTAGACTTTAGGAAAATTTACCATATTTATGTGTGGCAACCTCTCTACGTCTTTCTTTTGTGTCATATTTCTTCACTGCTTCTATTGGTTAACTTTTTTTAAGGTAAGAATATTTTATGTATGATTTGGGAGTTCTTTGGTAAAATTGTCTCCCGAACAAATTCTCTTCTGTATAGTGCAAGAACTATAAAACTAGGCACAACTCAATCATATTTAGTGATGGGAGGGTCTAAAATTATCCGAAAAAGAATCGTGCCTTTTTATGGAAAGTTCTAAAATGTAGTGGTTAATAAAATTGTAGTCTCACTAAAATTTTCTGAAATTTTAATAAAATCTAATTGATATTTTTATCTTTAGATCTCTTAAATTGCACTATTTTGATTTAGACCTAGATTGGCCTCTTATTTTTCAGTCAAAACCTGGAAATTCACCTTCAATTCTTGAAGTTCTTGGAAAAATTTAATCTCTTGATTTTTTTCCATCAGGACAATACAGGTTATGGGACCCCTCCAGTTGAAACTCTTAAATGCTCTCAATGCTTCTTTCCCACTGAAAATTTCTTTCATTTTCTTATCAATTTGAAGACTGTATTTAACACAGTTGGGGTGAAAAAAGAACAGAAATATAATCTTTGAGTTGTTCACATAAATGAAACATCTATTCTGACACTTGATAGATGAATAATCAACTCCATAGGTCCTCATGTCTTACATTGTTTTTTTCTGTGAATCATGGGAGGTTTACTTTCAAGGAAGTGTAAACCCTGTTTCCTATCAAGAGATAGGTAGGTGTTACGGGGAGTAAACCTAAAAATTGAAACCGACTGAGGACTGTAATCTTCTATTCGGTATCATATGACTAACTTGAATATCTGAGTTAATAGGAAAATTATATTCATTTTTCTGTAGCTACATCTAGAATTATGTATTTATAACAAACTTTTCATATATTCTTTTTGTATAGAATTTTTTTTTTAAAGTTTAAATAAATATCCTTGTACATAGTTATTGTGGATTATTTAATTATTTCTATATCTTTGAAAATATTCTAAAAACAATTTAAGGCGTAACTTTGTAATAAACTTCGTTATTAGGGTACCCTTCACGTAAACTGACAACTCTCATAAACAAAGAAGTTTTTCTGTCCCAATAACGTCCGCTTCACCGAGGTTTCACTATATATATATATATATATATATACAGTATACTCACGCTATCTTGAACACCTTGTTATGTCAAAAAAAATACTTAGTCTATATTAATTTATTTAGTCAAAAGCCTAAATAATTGTGTAACTTACGCAAAATCTTGTTTACGCAACATTTATTCTGCCCTTACCAGCACCCTCATTTCTTTTGCATTCTCATTCACACGCAATAATGACTTTTTACGTGATTTGTTAAAGAAAAACTCAATCTTAAAGAACATGAGAATGACTAATAAATCAATTTTTGCATACCTGCCAAGTCTCTTGTTTTTTAACGAAAACTCCTGTATTTTGCCGCTATCTTCCATTTACCCATTTATTCTCACATTTCTTTGTACTTGTAAAGAAATAAAAATTAGCTATAAAACATCTGCTGATGGCAAACATACTTCTCTTATTCCTTAACAGATCGTGCTATTGCCAGAACTGCTGTATGTTGAGTTTTTATTTAGTATAACTAATGGTTTAAAAAAAATCTTTTGATTAAGATTTACATAAAAATAATACTAAATGTAAGTGCTTATTTTTTCCAATTTTGACTTACTCGATTATGGATGATGTATCAAGACTTTACTCATAGCCTGAAAAATGTTAATTATAAAATCTTCATTATTTTATTTCTCCAATGTTGGCAGGTATGTTTTTGTTTCATGCATCGATTATTCCTAAAGAAGTGTACCATAAAAATTAAATTTCGATATTTTTTAGATTTTTTTAAAAAATTTTTGTTTTGATTCATATAATAAATTGTTATAAGGGTTAAGAATAAAACTTTTTTTAAATTTTACATGAAAAGTTTTTTTTCTTTGAATAAGACAATATTTTGTTATAATATTTGAATATATTATATTTGAATAATATATATATACAGTGAATTCGCGATAACTCGAATCTGATAGGACTGACGGAAAACTTCGACATATCGGAAGTTCGACTTACCGTTAGTTTCGGTTTTGGATTTTCAAAATATTGTTGGATTATTTAATTAATGCTCATCAATTACAAACCTTCTAAATGCTTACAATATTTAAGATCATTTTTCTGACAAGCCATTTACGATAAGACTGTTTGAAGCACTTTATGATACCCTGGTCCATCGGCTGCAACTTTGCTGTTGTGTTTGGCGGGAGAAACTGCAAGTTTACTGCTTTCAAATTAGGTAGATCACTATGCGCTGTGCATTTATCCATAAAGAGTATCACTTTTCTTTTTTTAGCGAAGAATTTCCGATCCAATTTTCTTACATAGTCTTCAAATAAAACTGATGTCATCCAAAACTTTTTGTTAGACTTGTAATCCAAAGGATACGTTTTTACATTCTTGAAACATCGGGGATTTCGGTATTTTCCGATAACAAGTAAGGGCAATTTCTCTGTCCCAGACGCATTTCCTCCAACTAGGACAGTCAAACGTTCCTTGCTCATTTTACCCCCTGAGCAGTTTTCATCCTTAAACATCATAGTCTTATTTGGAAGACATTTAAAAAATAAACCCATTTCATCAATATTGAAAACATCATTTTAACTGTATCCTTGAAGTAAATTTGGTAACGTTTCATTTAACCACTGTTCACATACTTCAAGAGGGACAGCTTTAGCTTCTCCATGAAGAGTGCGAAAGACATTGTGTGTGTGTTGCAAAGGAAGGGGCAAGATATCAGCTCCTAGGTTTTTTTTCTTGCTTTAAAAGATCCAAAAAAAATCGAGTTAAAGGGAGTAAAATTCGAGTAATCGAGAATAATTAACATGAAATTGAAGATAAAAGGGTCGGGACCTCATAAAAAAATCGAGTTATAGTAATATTCGAGTTATCATACTTCGAGTTATAGCGAATTGACTGTATATAGACACGCAGTAAAACCTCACTACTACAATATTTTGGGGTCCAAATATATTGTTGTAGAGGGATATATTATTTTATCGAGGGTCTACATACTTTGGGGACAGAATAAAGATTTTTTTAAATTTTAATCTTATATATGTATTAACTGTAGATCTAATTATATATTATATAAAAATTTAATTTGCAGAGTGGTGATTATGGTTAAATATGAAATCAGATAGTAATGTTCTTAAGAGATAAGGGAGGTCTATGTACATCAAGGATAGGGTATTGAAATCTGAATACAAAAGTCATTCACTGTGGTGAAAAGAAATAAGATAAGATCAGAAATTTTACAGGGGTTCAAAGAATATCACAATATTGAGAGGTGGATAACATTAACTCATATGCGCAAGGGACCAACAAAACATTATTGTTCTACCAGATATCATAGTAGTGAGAGTTCACTGTATATATTATAAAGAAAATATTTTTTTTTCTTCATGAATCTTGATTGTTAATGTTTGGATATCCTTCTATGCATTCTGAAGCTAATCTATTGCTGAGTTCTGTTCTAATATTTCAGAAACAAGATGTTTTACATTCTCTGCTGCCAATTCCATCCCAAGAAAAGTTTTTAAGTGTTTATATTGGATTAGCTCTTACAATGAAAGTAAGAACTTTAAAATAAAAGTAAACAATTTGAGTTCTGAAAAATTATCTAATATTTTTTTTTTTCAATTCAATCTTTGACAGGCGATCCAAGTCATCCACCTACTCTTCGTGCAGTGTAGCATAAATATCTTCTTCGTCGACTGGGAACGTCCGAGAGTGCGCTCGTCTTGCGTGAGCGTACGCTCGGCGACGACGACCAAGGGGGTGGCCGAGACAAACGTGAGTTCGGAGAATATTAAGGGGTGTTTGCCCAAAACCACACCTGACAAAATGCATACCGATATGGCTGGTATCAGTATATGGAGAACTTATTATGTGGCCAACGAATGGACCGAAATACAAAGTAAAAGAAAAATCAACTTGTGTGCTCAACTTTTTGGAGTTTTATTCTTTCTCAAAGTAAGCTTTTTTATCACATTAAAAGAAACTTTAAATCAAGTGAGTTATTTTAAATGCCTTCACTCAATATCATAAAACAGTGTTTTTTGTATTTTAAATAGTTTATATGGCTGCACATTTCTTTTACATTCTAAATGATCATTAATGTGAGTGAGGCACTAATTTGTTGCTTTAAACCACAGGGAATCACCTAAAATAACAGAAAAAATGGTCGGCGACGACGACCAAGGGAGTTTTTCTTTAGAAATTATTAATATACAGGGAATTTCCTTTTTTAGAAAGTGGTAGCCTCTCAAATTACAATCTATTGGATATTTAAGGATGATATTTCAGCCAAATTAAACTATTTCCTATAACATTATTTGTTTTGAGTATGTTCAGCTGTTCCTTCAATTATGACTAGTGTAGTAAGCCCAATACAGCTCATACAAGTGTTTTTCCTCTTAATATATATCCTATTGTGTTTAATTTGTGCAGGGAAATTTTTTTTTAGACTTGAAAGGAATGGAAACCTTATTCATAGTAGACCTTGTTTTCTCTTAAAACATTCAAACAAAATTTTAAAATATCAAAAAAGAAGTTTTTTTCTTGTATGCCAAATTTTATTTTAAAAACATTTTTTAGGATGACTAAAAATGAGAAAACTCAAATATTATGTTTATGATTATAATCATAAATATTTATTTCTATTCTTATTATTAATTTTGCTATCATTATTTTATTTTTATAATGTAACATAATGAACAAATTATCAGAAATTCAGCAAAGTGGCATCTACATGTTAAAACATGTATAGATCTTTTCTAATTGTCTTTATTATGTGTATTTAAATTGAAATTTGAAGTCTACTAAAATTATTAGCTGATGTATTGTCTGATATGTTCGTGCATATAATAAATAGTTAAGGCAGATCTGAAAATTATCTTGTCAACATGTATTTAAGCAGATTCATTAGTTTTACATAAATAAATTTTAACTTTGCTCAATGTATCATTGTACACTGCATCAAGTTTCCTAAATTCAATATATATATATGTAACATAAAAAGCTTCTATTAATCATTTTATGTTATCCTGCTCTTAAATCTATTTTTGGCCAAGTATGCATTTAATTAAAAGCAGGACATTTTTCCCTCTGCTCTCTGTGGGAAATGATCCATCTATTTCATAAACCAATAGCAACTACTAAGATTTCCCTCTTTCCCTAAATTAAGACATTTTACGGATTTTACTTTGCAAGATTTTCCCTAACATATAACCAAGGAGCGCAACTTTTCATGTTCACTTTTACACTTTTTCATGACTGCTCTGTCTAATAATTAATAAATAAATTTTGTACCCTCCTTCCCGGCTTAAGACCTGTTTTATTCCTTCCACTCGTCAACGACGTTATATATATATATATATTAATCTTGTAGTAATGAGCATTTCCTTGTAAAAGTGGACATGAGGGTTGAAATTTCAATTTGTCTTAATTGTAACATGTAATATATCAAATTAAAGGTAAATGAATGAGATTTATGAAATTATAAGGAAAAATAACATAAAATTTTTCCTTGTATTATTTTTTTGAACTTGAAGTTAATATAATATAAAAAAATTTCAATTAGGAAAATCAGGGTCTTTTCATTTCACTCAGAAATAATATTTAAACCTACAGCGTTTTGATTTTCAGTGCATATATTTCTATTTGTGACTTTTATCTATCTTTTAAAGCATTTAATCTTTAAAAAAGGAAAAACTCAAATTTTAATGCAAATATATTTATAAAGTCTCTCTGTCACGCCCATCACAAAAAATATACTTAATATGCCATAGAAAATGCATACCTTCATGAAAAAGCAGGAAACTTTGTAAAAGTCTAATTATTGTGATCCTTAATAAGTAAAAAGTATTAAAAATATATGAATTTTTTATTTTGGGATAAATTTTGGTGTGACGGGTGTGACAAAATCATTATAACGGGTGTGACAACATTTTAAATAACTATAAAAACTGTTCCTAAATGAAAACAAAGAGTTTAAACCATTTTTGTTTCCAAATAAATTAAAACAATGTTGTTAAGAATAATAAAAAATTATATAACATATTTAGCAATATTTATAATTACGAGAAAGTCATAATATTTTTCGATCTTTTGTGGTGGTAAGCGACGAACTTCAGCATGATAAATATGCTGTATGGGCTTTTTTAAATGCTATTTTAACGGATTTAAAAATTGAGTATCCTCAGTTACAAAGTCAGCATGGTAAATATGCTGTATGGACAAACTTCAGCATGATAAATATGCAGTATGGGCATTTTTAAATGCTACTTTAATGGATTTAAAAATTGAGTATCCTGAGCTATGAAGAACAAAGATTTTTTCCGTTGGCTGTGCAGCACAATTCAAAAATAAGTATTCAATTTTGAACTTGTGCTTCTTTCAGGAAGATTTTCAATTAAATTGTGAATTGAAATTCTTTGCTACTTCCCTTGAAAAAGGTGCAGTAGACGGCATTGGAGGGCTAATAAAATCAAAAGTTTGGCATCAGGTAAAATCCAGGAAAGGATCCTGAATCCAGGATCCTGCAATCAGCTTGTTCGTTTATTATTACTTACAGTATTATAATGAAATCTAACCAAAAAAAAAGAAAAAACTCTGAAAGGAAGGCTATTTTCTGGTCTCTAATAATGTTCAATGAGAGAGTAGAAAGGAAATTTCCCTAGGGTTGAACTAAACGCTTGAAGGATTGAATGGTTTGAAATGCAGTCCATAGTACAATAGTTGCCTTAGCCAGACGATTGAAGTTTAAATAATTAGAAGCTATTGATCGATGGTCATCAGCTTAACTATGATAACCAACTTAAATCAACATACAATGCACAAAATTAAATAAACAGAACACTTTAATCACTTTTGTTCTAGCGACCTAAATATCATTTACCAACATTATTAAGTCACCTCAGATGATATTTTAAGTGACCAAATCAGATACAAGTACATACTATTAATAAAATTTTTTTTTTGGTGGGTTTTATTCTTGACTTTTAAAATATGGGAGGGTAGCCAATATCTGAAAAAATATGATCCCCATAGTTTAGGCTGGACAGCATTCAAAAATTAGGTCCCTTATTATTGATTTTAATTTTTGAATATTTTTTCTTTAAAGGAAATATTAACAGTTTGCTTCTAAAACTTTGTTGTGATGTTGTTGTCCAAATTCAAATGGTCGATGCAAAAATGCTTGAATTGCCAGAAACTTGATTCATAATTTTAAACTGTGCAATTTTAACTAATAAAATCTATAAAACGTTTTGCAATATTTTCATCATTAAATTTTAAAAATTTATTTTATTTCTTTTCAATTGTTATACCAAAATATTTTTTTAAAAAAATATTCAACTTTGAAACTTGTTTTTTCTTTCAAATATAGGTTCTTGACTTTGAAAGTTATGCCTTAGCTAGCTTAAAATTCAATTTGCCTCCTTCTGAAGTTCATAAATATGTGCCTTACAGTGCTTGCAGTCGACTAGCCCTCGGTGCTTCTGTTTTCCTGAGCTTAGCTCTTCTACAAGTAATAATAGAATTTCAATTGCAATTGACTGTCTGTATATTATTCTTTGTTTTTCCCAATGCAATACAGTCCCAATCTTTTTAGTTGTGCAGACCACCCATTTAGGAGAGAGATGCCGACTAACAACTATGAATTATACAGACACTCTCCAGAGATGCCAACTTGCTCTGGACAGTAAATATATATTTTAAAGTGGTAGTTTATCAATTGTGATTCTTGGTTTAATAAATTCAATTTAGTTGATTTTTATCCACCACTATTTCTAAATAATTCGTAGGCTTATATGATTCACCACTTTTAAATACTTATGTAATGCTATACCTTTTGAAAAGCAAGCAAAAATAGTCAAATATTTGCCAAGTTTACTTTGTAGTTATTTACCGTTATTTTAATTATTTTGGCGTGTTCGGAGCAGTTGGCATCTCTGACTCTTGACCAGTGTTTATGGCTCACATTCCATGGGCCATCCTGTACGTGAACTGAAATAAAGCAACCAAAATTTTACATTGTATGTATTTTATACAAAAATATAATCCAATTTTAATTCTTTCACTTGATTAAAAAGTAACTAAGCTAAGACCCATACCATGAGAGATAAGTCAACTTGTTGATTATGAGCTTTTAGTACTTTGGTTTTCAATATGATCGACTATGCAAAAAATAAACTGACATGAAGTATTATCATAAGGCCAATGCCAGTAAATTAGCCAAATTTCAAAGGATGAATCTTCGCAATTTTCTATGATTAATTTTTTTCCTATAGAAAACTTCACATCTAAGTACAAATTTACTATAAATTGAGCTATTTTATAGAATGCAAATTAAGAGTCATTTTACAGTTTTGGGAAAGGGTAAATGAGCAATGAAAATATTTTGTTCTCTAAGAGGAAAAGATTGGTGTTAATTTCTCAAACTAGAGATATGTTTTTTTAGATTTTGACTACATTATAAATAAATACAGGGCGTTCCAAGATAATTGGGACTAACTTTAAGGTGAATCATCATAAAGTTTCAGATTTTCCGAGCAACTCATGGTTGGAAACGTCTTCATCCGCCGCTAGGTAGTTCTGTTCTCATAAGCATTCGAGGAAACAGACCGGAATTTCTGCGATAATTTAAGCTATTGTTGCCTGCAAAGGAGTATGCAATGTTTTACGAAAACCGAACTGGCATGTGTGTGCTTGAGCAGCAGAAAGATTGTATTATTAAAGGCACCCTCTGAGAGATGCGTGAATAATGGATCATTATGAGAGCGGTGGGTAGTAGGACTGGGTGATGTTAAGATTTTGGGATCACGATGTATCGTCACACTAACATCGAGATATTTTTATGCATCGCGATGTTTTGATTTATTAATTTTTATGTTTAGTAAATTTGTAATTAGTAAGTTCCATTTATTTTTGGAATAAGCGTTGCATTTTTAATATATAAAGGAGTGGGTGACTGCAAAATAGCTGGTAAAAAAAGCAGCTGAAATGTTTGTAAAACAATCAACAGTATTTGCACACACACACACAATTAAAAAGAAACCGTTCCATAACTGAGAAATTCAAGAACACTTCAATTCTCAGTCACATTCGAAATCATTGTGTCAGCGAAACGATGATTCGATATTAAAAAAAGACATGGAAATATAACAATCACTGCATGGAGGAAAATGCTCTTTGCACAAGCTGGTAGACATTGATTGGGAACATGGCTCAACATCTGAGTAAATCTCGATTTCCGATGCTTCGAAAAATTGTCTATCCAAACAGCGGATCGGCACAGTATTTTCAGAAGTATTACAGAAATTTATAAAAATATGTTATTCGTTCTATTTCTTTTATAAATCAAATGAAATTACATAGTTTTTGTTTTTCAAGGAAAAATTTTTTTAAACCTAAATGCTTGAAAAAACTTAATTCATGTAACTTACGTTATTGTGGTTATAATGTAAGCTCGTGTTGCTCATTTGGAAGTTTATAAGCACAAGATGAATAGATGATTGTAAAAATAACTAATTAATTTATTTTTGTAGGGAGTTAGAAACATGAAAAGGTACCCCAACATAGAAACGAGTTTTCATGTCTTATATAACTAGTGAATTGGAATTATATTTTAGTTGTGGTTGATATCTACAATGACTGTATTTAATAAACTTTGTTTTTTGATATTACAGTTAAATTCAACGAATATAAATAATTGGATATGTTAACCCAGAGTTGGTTTAATTCTATTTTTTCATTCCTTTTTAACAAGTGTGAAGTTCGGTATAGCCAAAGACAGGTTATTTCAATTATTGTACTAGAAATTGAACTAACTAACAAACAGACTTGTGAGCCTGTAACTTGCACATTACATTCACTCAAACTTGAAATTAACAAATAAAAATTAGAGAAATGATGCCTTCACAGTACTTTTAAATTGAATCAAGCTATGATTATTTCTTAAAAATACAGTGAGGATGTTTTTTTTAAAAACTTCTGCTGGAAATATCTGCTAAGTAATAAAAATATTTTATGAATAAAACAATAGCAAAAAAAATAATGTGACATTTTAATAGCATGTTTTATTGGAATAATATTTTGTAGAATTAATTCTTTGAACTTTTAATGTAAGAAAAATAAAAAACATAACCTGTTTTAGTTTACAGATGTTCTTGATTAAATCAATCTTTATAAAAGAATAATGTGAAACATTTTATGAAGATTATCTTAAAAGTTAACAAAGACATATTATTAAAAATTATTTTTTGCTTGGAATTGTCTTGCGTCTAAATGAATTTTTTAATAGTGTCCAAAGTATTTTCTAATTCACTGAAAAAGTTCTCAAGATATAGTGCAATAAGTAAAATTAAGTGGTCCATTTGGACCCTATTTCCCAGATTGTGGCCCTATATTTAAGGGGTCAGAGAGAAATTATAAACCAACAAAAGAAAAAGCATGCTTATTCTGAGATAGTATGTTTTTGTGTCAGATTTCGTAACTTAAAATATCGTTGGCACTAGCAAATTAGCATATTTGAGGTCACCCCCTTGAACCATTAAGAATGAGCTCTAGTATGTTATAATCAGAGATCAAAAATCATTAAGGATTGGGATACTGGACTGTGATTTGTATTAGTTGCTATTTAGTACGATTTTGCTGTTACTTCTTAGATGTATTGTTTTATTATTCTGTTTATTTAATAGCTAAAAGAACTATAAGATTATTAGTTTTAACTGCAAAAAGTAAGCTGTTTTTGTAACCAAGCTCGAAAATCAAAATTGAACATCAACATTCTATTTTTAAAGTACATTATTTATATCATAATTTGTAAGAAAAAATAGAGTTTTAAATAATTTCCATTTAAATATAATTTTTCAGGTTGTTTTTAGAAAAGGAATTTATGAGCGTTTTGTGGAAGATAAATTGCAACAATACGTTGATTTGTGCTCTGTTAGCAATGTAAGTATCATTATTCACTATTTTATCTCTAATACGCATAATAGTTGTTGATCCGTTTCTGATTTCAAAACACGAATGGTGCCAGCAAATAAAAACTAGTCTTCGGTTATTATTGATTGAAAAAGTTCTATCATAAAAATAAATAATTAAAAAAACTATTTATTTTTGAATAATATAAAATTCAGATTATTTTCTGCTCCTTGTTGAACATGAAAAATATCAATAAATTTAAAAGGTTTGTTTTGAAGGCTTGCATATACATTTAAAAAATCCTTCTACAAACCTTGAGAAAGATAATTTTAATCACCATTGCATCATTATTACTTACATTGTTTTATTGGCAATAGGTGTCAGTAAGTAATGATATTCAGGGTAAATATTTTTACCATCTGTTACATTTATTTCCTATAAAAAATGTCACCAATGTGCTTCAAATTGTTGCATGCTAAATCTAATCAGAAGAAAAATTTCTACACTCAAATGTTTTGGTGAGTTGTTACAAATTCCACATCCGACTTGCACCAACCACAGTGCTGACTCAAAATATCCTCAGTGGTTTACGGATCATGGGTTAGAGTCCCCTTGCCGTCAGGCTAAACGTGGGTGGTTCTCGTTGTCTTCCTCTCCATGTAACGCAAATGCGAGTTAGTTCCGTCAAAAAAGTCCTCCACGAAGGCAAAATTTCTCCCAGTACTTGAACCAGGAGTTCCTTTGTCTTCTGGATTGGGTTCAAAATGACGAGGCGACGTAGTTGAACATTAGTAACCCAAATTTGGGTCTGCTGTTATAAAATGAAATATATATATAAGTGTATAGAATATTAAACAGAATTTTATAATAAAAAATGTTATTTCTAATGACACTTGGACAGCCTTCTTACAAATGAGGTGAGGAAGATTGAAAATAAGTCTGTATCTCTTGGATAAATCCACTCATTCCACTTCCTCAATTTAGACATAGATCTGAAAGGGAAGGAAATTTTCTCCAGAGCTCTGTCCTGTTCAGCTACCCATCGCAGGACTTTCGATTCCACAGATTTTACAAGCACTTGTATTGCATGTACTTGGTATAATGAAAAATTTTTGTAATAAACAAAATTTGTTGGAAATCTTTTTTTTTTTCTTCAAATTCTCTTATGGAACCTGCAGTTTATTTATTTTTGTAAAACCTTGAATTATTATAATTTATCTTTTCTGAAACCTTCCCAAACCGGAATGATCAGTTATGATCATCCAAAAATTTTGTTAAATGTTTTCATATATTTAGAATAATAATAACATTGGTTTTCTAGGTAAGTGTTTTTTTGTTGTTGACCAAAAAATTTGGTTATTACATTCATGGGAGATCTACACATGGTAAGGCAGATGTAAATATGAAAGAAATGCATGAGTTCCTTAGAAAAGAAGAAGTAAGTCTTTGCATTTGTTTTAAAAATTGAATGTTTGAAATAAATCAGAAAAAAAATATTACATTATTTCCTGACAAATTTTATATTATCTAAGTTGGTCAATTCTAGTGATTTCTCAAAGAAGCTATTATTAGTAAAAGCTATGCTGTTATCAATGTTTGTTGATATTCTTACCTTGTAATAAGATAATTTACAACAAAAATCTTAACCTATAACGGAAAAAGGTAGTAATTTAACTTATTTTATGTATTTTTCGAGTATTACAGTACGTTAGATTCAGCAGAACATTAAATCAAAGAGTAAAGACAATTCTATGTCTTTCAGGAAATGTTATAGAATGTAGGAATATCTGCAGTCAAAAACCCTGAAATAGCTTTCTCTGTTCCTCTCAAATAACTTTTGTTATCTTTTACTGTACTAAAAGATGTGCTACTCTGGAATATGTTTTAATCTATGCACTTTGGCAGGGAGAGATATTCCATATACACGGATCTGTCCAGGTCAAATTTACTACCGTTTTGTGGTACCTTCTGCAATTCAAATTTAGGAAAAACTTTCACAAATTGCTTTTAATAAAGCAAGTTCTAAGATTCTCCTCCCTGCCTCTTGAAATTTTGTTTTTGTTCCCCCTAAGAAACAATAAATACCGGGTTAATTCCGCATATACAAATAGGTAGCACATGCTTGGTCAGATAGTGTGGTATACTAAGCCTAACCTGTCGCTTATGCCATATTATAGCGAATTTTTTTTTCTCTGAGTTTTTTTTTTTTTTAATTAAACAAGCAATTTTTGCAAATTTTACCGGAAGTTGAAATTCAAACATTATTCTAAACATTCGAACATTGTTCTAAATTTATTCTAACAGAACTTTATTTTTTCATGAAACATTTTTTCTCTGTGAAATTTTTTTCTATGTGACCCCATGAAGAATGTTCTCATAATGAAAATTAATGTACATACAAGTACTGTTAAATACATGTTTGTTTATTTTTTTAAATTCAAGTTGAAATTTAACAATGACTTTTATGAATTTTGAAATTTGGATACAATTTTAAGCCCGAAATTTTACAATAGCAAAATTATTTTTGAATAGATGGGGGAAAATATATAAACATTTACCAGTTATAAAGAATCTTTGTTTGTAGTGACAATTTTTGAAAATATCTTCTTTACCCTATTTTTGTGTTGTTTTTTAATATAATTTTTAATTTTCACAAATTATGTATTAGTTTTCACAAAATAGGTACCTCTTATAAAAACTTAGACAGACCCCTGGTATATGTTTAGTGCTGTTGGACATGCTCGATATTTATTTATTTATGAAGGAAGGAACATTCTTTTAATTTGCACTCTTCTGTAGGAAAATTTATGTTGCATGTCCAAAATTTTATAAGAATTATGATGAATGTAGTTTTATTATAATGATATGACAGCTCTGAAGTTGATTTCAAAATTTTTAATTGTGTTTTAATACTAAGAATGATTTCAGGAAGACCTGTGTGGCTATCGTGGATTACTACCAGATACTCAACAGCAGACATTTCAGTTTGTTTTGCCTCCTGGTGTTCATGATCAGTTCATCAGGCTCTTACTTCCCCTTACATCCGTAAGTTTCTTTCTCTCATAAACCCTCTAAATCATTTCCGATCATCCTTATAAATTTTTTTTTCTTATCTTCATTTACCAAATAAACTTGTCATTTCCCCTCTTTTTTTCTTTCAATTCTATGTTATCCATGTATGGTTGACTGATTGTTAACAATAGCACATTTCCTAAAACCGAAAGAAATTTCGAAAACTTCCGGCGTATCCCTCCACTTATTTTATGCTTACGAGGCGATGTGTGAACAGGCTTCATATTCTATTAAGTTTTATTATGGTGATTTATGTTAAAATGTACCATTCATAAGAATTTTCTGTCATTTATAAATACTAACGGATCGTAAGCTTAAAACAAAATTAATATCACGAGTTAAAGTGAAAGGTTAGCCATGTTTTTAATGTTATTTGGCTATATTTGTGTAAAATAATGTTTATTATATTTTGGTTAGCATCATAGCAAGTCTTTTGAACTCATTGTTTTGGTGAAAGTTAGATAGAAATAACGCATTATGTTGTATAATAATATTGGATAGTGCGTTTTTTTAAGCTTTTCATAGGTGTAAAAATCGGTTGGAAGTAGTAACCTGGAAGTCTTATGACTCATTTTAACCCCTAGCGCCATCTGCACTTATCTTTACACGGACAACCATCCCTTGTGGAAATACAGGGAACTAAAACAAAACATAATACACAAGTTGAAATTTTAATTTTTTATGTGTAAAAAAATATTTAATTTAACACCAGCTTACTATCTCAAATCATCTCGGGCAGATGAAAAAAGTAGAATATTAGTCTTTGTTGTATATGTTCACATCTTCATAATCTGAAAACTTCTCTGCGTTAATTTCGCTCATGAACGCGATTTTTTAACTCTTTTTCTATGTAAATTCATCAACCTTCGTGTATACAATTGTACGAAATACACCTGCAGCCCCCACAAATAGCAATTGTCCCAAATAAAAATTGACTAACTTCCAATCACAGCAGATTATTTTTTGTTTTTCTTCCGGCTGAATAAAAATGAGATAATACAAAACGTATTGACAAATTCTGCTATGCCCGAGTTTACTCGGGATAATAAATATTTGCAGCTTATACATACCCGAGTTCACTCGGGATAATCAAGGAAGGAGTTAAAGAGCATACTTTTAGGAATGAAAGAGTTTTTACTTTAAAAAGTCGGTGCGTAGCGTTTTTAAAAAGTGCTTAAAGGTGCTTATTTTTGTTTTTTTAAAACCCTTAAAGGTGCTTTTTTTCATTGGGTGTTTTTAAAAAGTGCTTAATTTTCCCTTTTCCAAATTGAGATTTGTTCTTTACCGTGTTGATTTTGGCTCCGAATTATGCAAAAAGACAATGTTCACGTTGTTCTATTCAACGTTTTCACAATTAATTCAACTCCAATCTATTTTGGCGCAGGGTCAGTCCATAGCGTAGTAAAGCGCCATTCGATTGACATGATTGAAAAAATTTTTCAATTGTCAAAAACAATGACAAAAGGTTTGTTTTTTATATGGCGGTTAAAACTAGATAAAACCGTCAATTGTTAAAAACTTTCCAACCCTGTCTAGTTATGATATTTTTTTAAAGTGCTTAAAAATACTTTTTGAGTGCTTGAAAAGTGCTTTAAAGGTGCTTATTTTTTGCTGAATAATTTGTCTACGCACCCTGTTAACAATCATTTCATCTGCAATCTCGTGTTGTCTGTCAGCTCGTTTTCCTGAGTTGTTGGAAGATAAAATTCAAAATTTTTTCAGCACTTGTTTTAAAAATAAACTAAAGCAAAACAAATCCTCGAAATGTTTGATAGCTCGGTTAAAGCAGAATCTCAGTCAAATCTGCTGTATTTATATCAGATTAACTTAGTGTTATCAAAGGTAGAGTTTATAATGTTTTGTCAAAGAAATTTGAGTTGTGAATATTATCATTGAAAATAATTTTTGCAAAATAAGATTTTAAATAGAATTTAAAACTAGTGTCTCTCTATTTATTAAAATAAAACTTACTGCTGCTGTCAGCGCTGTTTCAGAAAATAACTCTAAAAACTAATAAGTGAAAGATTATGAATTTTTGTGCATTTCTAGAGTAATGCTTGAAGAACACTCTGATATTATTGATATGGCTTTTTGGGTTATTTTATGTCAAAGTTGAATGATAGTTCTCTTTTTCGCCATGTAACTATGATTGTCTTGCAGCCAGGCACTATTATGTTCAGAAAATGAGTGATTTAACTTTGTTCAAATTTTGAATGATAGTTGGAAAAATTGTACAGTTTATATTGATGTTTTTTTTTCTTCTTTTTAAATTTTCTATCTAATATCTAATCACAATATCTATCCAATCATCTTAAATCTAATCAGAGTAAAATTATAATTTTTTGCAACCCATTTTCTTATGACTGAAGATAATAATAAATAAATAAAACATTTATTTTTAATTTATTTTGGTAAAATAAAATAAAATTTAAAATGTTTGAGGTTTTTGTATATGATACTGTAAGATTAACAAAATAAATTATATTTCTTTTTGTTTCTTGGACAAAACCAAAATAGAGTATTTTCCTTTCTTTTGAAAAAAAAAACAATCTTTTTCTGGGCTTATTTTAAATAGGGAGTGTTAATATTTATGAAACAAAACAGATGGTTTTTCATGAACAATTATCAATCCACTCCAATATCTTGATTTTTTCCCCTTTTATTCGTCTCAAAATGTGTTAAATTTGACGGTACAAAACGAGAGCTTAGAATTAGGAAATTAAAAGAATGGGATGTTATTTAATGGATATAATAATTAGCTTTAATTATATATTAATCTGGTTATATAAATTTTTGCATTCATTTCATTTGTCTTTCCTTTTAGTATAGCCAGGCTGCTGACCGTATGCAAGGAGGTAAGAGTTCAAGGTATCTTTACTTTTACATTGTTTATTCATAAAATATTTATTCCCTTTCTATTTTATAGTGGGCGGACGTTTGGCTAAAGTTGATATCTCCAGAGTTGCCAATACTCACTATATGCTCAATAAATTTCTCTCTGCCTTTATTGATCATGTAAGACAATATTTCTTATTTTAAATTATTTCTTATGTTTTGAATGTACAGTCGAACCCTATTCTAGTGAACTGTCCAATATATATTATTCTAGAGCATTATGGGAAATTTGTAATTTTGATGGTTTGCTTGAAATTATTAAGTCTATAATAAATCAAGTTTTAAAAAGAAAAATGAATCAATTCATTTTAATAAAATTTGTACTTTTCAATTGACTACAGTTCCATTTTAAGTATAGTTTATCAATTTTGGTAGAGTCGGGGTGGGATTTACCATTAAGCACACTAATCTCGTGCGTAGGGCACCAGAGGTTAGGGGGCGCCACAACCCTCCAATGAAAAATAAGAATTCTAGAAATATTTTTTTACACATTTTAATTCGATTACGAGTTTTCACACGCGTTCATGGTTTAAACTAAATTGCTATTGGGTTATATTTATTTCAATCCTGCGAAATCAAAAAAAAGTTGTGTGCTGTCCGTAACCCATCACAAAATAACCCATGCTTTTTCTTGACAGACGACCACCTAGTCGACGAATAGCTGAGATACAAAACTCGAGCAAAAAGCTAAACAAGTTGATTTTCTACACTGACGTGTCAAAGCATCTTTTTCATCTTGCGGGACCAATACCTGCCCCCCCCCCTTCTTATACTTTTTTCAGCAAAAAATACTATTTCTTTATATACTGAAGATAAGCTTAAATTGTCCTTCTTTGTGAAAACTTCTGTTACTCAAAATTGAGAGGTTCCTTGATTGACATTTATTTTTAAGCCAATCACATGATTGGAAGCTACATCAATTAATAATTTTTGTCGTAAACATGCAAATTAAACATACATTTAAAACTTTAACCCATTTTAGAGTGCGAATCGATCAGTGTGTGTTTAGTTAATTTCATTGTTGAAGGAGACTTATCTTGATTTTAAAAGTATTCCTCTTTTTTAAGTTTTAATAATGCAACGAGGCTATAAGAAGAAGAAACAAGAAATCCCCAGAAGACTTCACGACTGGCGTAAAAAGTAACAATTTATTTTTATTTAGTTAGTTTAACTTGTGTTTCCCCTTCCCACTTATAGATTATTGAAAATGTTGTTAATGCATGGTGCGTTAAAAAGTGCTTATTTTTGATTTTCGATTTTTAAAAGCTCTTAAAGGTGTTTTTTTTTTCATGGGGTGTTTTTAAAAAGGGCTTAATTTTCCCTTTTCAAGATTAGATTTTTTTTCTTTGCCATGTCGATTTTCACTGTGTATTATACAAAAGAGTGGTTTTCACATTGTTCGATTCAACGTTTTCACAATTCATTCAACCACAATCCGTTTTGGCGTAATGTCGGTCCGAAACGTTTTAAAGCGCCAATCATGTTACATATTTGATGAAATACTCAGGAGTCTGTATGTGCTTCTATTAAACTGAATTCAGTGAGATTCTTGCACTCTCTTGTGCAGTTCTGCTGCATTTTGCAAGATATTCTCAATTTCAAGCTTCATTTTCCACCCTCTGAAATCGAACCAAAAAACCTATCGATCTTTTTATGGCGGCTAATGTAATCAAGAAAAGATTTCTTTGTCAGTAACTAGTTATTTTATCATGATCATGCAAAGTCTTTGAAACTTATTTTGCATTTTATTAATGTATATAGAGCTTAAAAACATTCTCTTAGTGCTTAAAAAGTACTTTAAAGGTGCTTATTTTTTGTTAAGATATTTAGCTGCGCACCCTGTAATAGAATTTTCATTTCTCATTACTTTAATTGATTGATTTTAAATAGATTATTTCAAATGCAAATTATGTATACTAGTCAATGGGAAAATTTGATTCAAAATTAATGTGGAAAGTGGCTTATTTTATAATGTAATGTGAATTAATTTTATTTTGAACAAATGAATAATTTATTTATAAGAGAAATCTGGTGTTCTAATCCAGCTCACATTGAAATGGCCGAGTTTGATATACTGTGCGCAAATTAAAAAGTGAACCTCAGAATAACTTTCGATCTGATCGAATGATCGGATATTTGCGTATTCAACCTAAATAGTTTGGGGACTTGACCTTAAATATGTTAATTAATTAATGCTGGCAATATTTTAAGCTATGAAATCAGTCACAAAAAAAGTACTTTCTCTGATTAAAAAAATAATTTCATCAGATTTAGTATTCTGTCCCTTGAAATATGGGGAGGAGTAGCAGTAATGTGGAAAATATGGTCCCTATAATTTATACAAGAGATTGATGAAAAGTTTTACCCCTTCGTATTAATTTCGCTTTTTGCATATATCGTTAAATCTCTGGAAATTGGTAATCTAATCAAAAAGTTTTTGCACACCTTAATAAAATTCATTCATCCGAATATAATTCCACGTAAAATATGAGTTATGGTAATTTATTTTATCTAATGAAGGGAGTTCTAATTGTAAGGTATTACATTCTTAAGTATTTTTTTACATTATTACGAATTTTGTGATTTCAAACATCTTTTGATCCCTGTGGCAGAATTTTTTCGAGCTATCTGCGACAAAACTCTCTATCACTGAAGTCTTTCTGCGAGACACTTTTAATAATAATAAACATGTATGTTATTAATTTAAAATAACAAAAGCGCTGTGTTTACAAAATAAAAAGCTATATATAATTTTTTTTAATTGAACAGGTAATTTCTATTCTAATATTATAGGTGACATTCACACATTTTGTATGGAGGGGGGATGCAGAAATCATTTCCTTCACCTTTTGTAACTAATAATCGCAGCAAAAAAAAATTTGAAATCATTATATGCGTAGTAGTACTTGCCGAAAAAAAAATATCCATGACAAAATCATGCAAATCGGACACCTCAAATATGTGTTTCGTTTCTTGATTAGGCTGTAGTAATAAATAATGTTGTATACAAAACTATCGGATTTAAAAAAAAAACTATGAAGAAGTCGATAGCAATAACTGATAAAATTCGATAGAATAATTGCCTTAAAATGTAAAAACCTAAATACACGATTCGAATTTTACATATTGTTTGAAATTGCACGACTCGAATTTTCCGTGTTGTTTATCGGAATATTTAAAATCCACGTGAAAGTCAATAACTGACGAAAAATACAATCGAAACATAGCATCGATTTACCATGCTATCAGCATATATTGAGCGCGGCAAAAAGTGATTATCTAAATGCATGACTCAAATATAACAGATAAATTTCTGTCAAAAAATAAATAAAGGTAATTATTATTTTTTTACATTTCAAAAGAAAAATCTTTCTGCAGGAACTCTGTAATGTTCTGCAACAATGTCGCCATGTCGCTGCGATTCTGCCACGGGGCTTTTGATTTGCTTAAAGATTTCTCGTAATTTAACGGAATGCTCAAAAAGGTGAAATTAGCATTCAGAGGTCAAAACAATCAATTGTCCTCCTGCTCAAAATACTGCGACCCTTTTTATCCCAGGTTGCAGGTTTATCCTAGCATCCATATTTTGAGTGTCCGAATTCCAAATCTGCGGAAACTATATATGTTTATTCAGAGAAAGTACTTTTTTGTGTCTGATTTGGTAATTTATTATATCATTAAAATATTGTTTGCGCTAATAAATTAGCACATTTAAGATTTGACTTTTTAACCCATTAAGATTGAGTCATACGCGAAAATCCAATTATTTAATGAAAAGTTATAGTTTTCTTTGTCTTTATTTTCATAGTTAAGTTTTTAATTGTATTCCTTTAACAAAGAAAAGCATCAAATTCTACATTATTTTTAAAGTTCTAAATGCTAAAAAGCTTTACGGCTTTGACTCGGATGAAACCGGTTTTGCTTTTGTTTGTGTATTAAATGCTTAACATTGTAATGCAATACATTAAAAATAAATACAAATAAGAAGTACATCAAAAAAATCTCCTGAATAAAAATGCATTACATATATGATTAAATATAAAAGTATTGCATATAAACTGGTGCAAAACATGTCATTATTAAAAAACTGCAGTGCGTCTGATAGTTAGGTCTAATTATTATATTATACTATTATGATAAATGTTCTATATTTATACAATATATCGTCTAATTTCACCAATTGATACACTAACGTAAACAAGTGCAAACCAGTTTCAGTCACATAAAATCAATAAAGCTGTATAGTATCAACTGATAATAAAGATTTTACATAGAATATTATAGTGCATCTAATAAATAGGCGAGGACTGTACTTGCATTATGTTTAATGTTTTGGTTTATGTATATTTCATGATAAACAAGTATTACTATTTTTAAAATCATTAATTTTTCCAAAAAATCCTTTATTTTTTTCTTCAAAAAAGTTCTTACATTTTGCTTTGATAAAAGAGTAAAAACTCTGCCCTAGTTTAACCCTTTGCTTACGGTGTACCATGTTGTACCGTCACACGTGGTCCATATTTTGTTCCAGTCTTATGCAAAAGGTTAAAAGTGAAAAGCATGCGTAGACATAGTGTGAAGGGGGGAGGGGGCACTAAAATCAGTGCTTGCATGGGTGAGTGAAAACCTGGTATTGTCAGGAAATTTGATTTTAACTCTTAAAAGTGGGGAATAGTCAGGGAAAATTGCAATTTTTTACTAAAAACCTGGAAAATTCCTATATCATACCTGGAAAACACCAAGTCTTAGAGATGACAGCAAGAGTAATCAGTTATTGAGATTACAATTCCAACATCTTTTACAATGATTTTATAAAATTTCTTGTTTTAGTGAGACTTTTCCATGTTTCCATTCTCATTCTATGTTTTTGTTTAGAATGGGCCAAACGAAGTAAAAAAGAAAAATAATAATAAGTGGGAAAAGATATAAAATAAAAAAAATAGAATAGTGGGTGTAATAATCTTAATTTTTGTTCAATTATTAAAGAAAGATTTTTTTAATGATGCAATCAATTGTGGAAAAATTTGCATTTTGACAAAATATTGGGGATGCACATTTGTGATCCACACCCTTGAAGTACGCCTATGTGCTCAAGTAAAATTTGACATAATGTAAAGAAAAGCTGTTGTTTGCAACTCTTGCAAATTAAAAGGTAGGAAAAAAAAACAGGAAATGAATTACAAATTTTTCAGGTATTCACTATAAACAAAAGGTTAGTTAAACAAGGGGGGATGTTTCTTACAACCGAGTGTCCGCTCTATCCCTGGTTCATTAAAACAGGGTTTGACTGTATTAATATTTCAAACTAGTTTTACCTTAAGCAATAGGACACTATCTTATGTAAACATTTGCAAATATTATAAAAATATGCGTTATATATTTATTTTGATATGTTAGTTTTAAGGAAGTTTCTGCATTATTTTATTTGTCCTTAAACTAATTAAGAAATTCTAATCAAATAAATAATTTTGTAATTAAGTCATTATCTTGTTTTTATGAAATGAATGCATGATATTAAAAGTAACCTAAAAACGTTTTTAGAAGTTTGTGTGCCCGCAAATTTAATATACACTTAGTTTTGTTCTTCTGATGTTATGCAATGCAAGCAAAAATCTAATTAGCATTCTTTGTAATGAAAGTTCATTTTTTATAATTTCTCACTCATTTTTACTAGAAGCTTTTTATATCTCGTTAATTAATTCTATCGAGGGTTTATATAAGTCGGCAGTCGAATGTGACTTTCTGATATATCCATGTTAACACTTCAGCTGATTTCCCATCTTATACTATTCATGACATTATTATCGAAATATAAAAATTAGTTTATCACTCAACGCTTTATTTTACGATCACTCGATAAATATTTATTGTGGAATAAAACTCACATTGAAATGAATTTTTCTTCTTCTGAAACCATTTTCTGCTACTTTTTTTATCACCTAAGATTAAAAAAATAGGAATACTTGATTAAAGCTACCTCATACGGTAATAGTTTTAATTCTAGTTTATAGCTAGACTCCTTTTAGTATTCACTTTCTATATTAATCTATTCATACAAGCATTGTAATATATTATAGCTTTTATTAAAACTGACAAAATTAATTTTAATCAACAATAAATAGGATTTTTACCGAGTAAAGTATAAATTTATGCATTCTTGTTATTTTTTGACATTTTACCCATGTTTAAAAAGTGCAGCTGTGATTGAAAATCACAATGGCTGCTGTGGTAAAAAGAAGGATGTGACATCCATCCATGACTAATCCCTGCAGTGAATGACAGTTATTAATTATCAACCTCAATCTATACATACTGCCATATTGGACTATCTGGAAAAGGAATTCTTCTATTTGAGTAGCGTATTTAATATCAATCTGCGATATCTTCTTCTACATGATCTATTTTTTCTTACATGTTGTTGTAAATCAATAAATGTTATGTTTGATTTTCCCTTAAATTTTTAAAATGGATTAAACAGTTTTTTTCCCTCTTCGAATTTTATACATTTGATAATTCGAGTAATGCAGGACCCATCGAGGCAACAAATTTTGCATTTAAAGGGTGCTTAAATCACCATGTAAAAATGTGTATATTTTATTTGTCTAATTCCATGGTATTTATTTCTAAGAAAAATTTCCTTTTGTAGCAATAATTTTCTTAGGTTATCATTTATCAAATTTAAAAAAAAAAAAAGAGTCTTCAAATATTCAGTGCTAAAAATATGTTTAAATTTTTTTATTTTATAACCGCCGTTAAAGAGCTGACCCAATTTTTTTGGGTTTACAATTACGAATGTTCAACTCTGTAGCCTTGTCGTTTTGAACTGGATCCAGAAGACAAGGGAACTCCTGGATCAAGTATTGGGAGAAATTTTGTCTTCGTAGAGGACTTTTTGAGTAAACTAACCCACATTTGTTCTACGTGGAGATGAAAACCTCCCAGGGTTAGCCTGATGGAAAGGGGATTCTAACCCATAATCTATCTGCCTCTGAGGATACTTTACGTCAACACTGTAGTCCGTACAAGCCGGGTGCTGAATTCGTATTTATCAGCCATTGCTGGGTTCACCTCATTGGAAGACGAACACTCTATCCCCTGAGCCATCACGGATCTGTTTAAAAAATTAACATTTTTTTTATTAATAATGATAATAATTTTTATTTATTTATTTATTATTTTTAATAGATCTGCTGTGGGAGCTTCTGTGGCACTTTATACAAATTTCCCGTTCTTATGATTCCTTTTGATAGCTTTCTTTCTGGCTTACAATTCTGTGCTAATTTGTTTTCTGACTTAATGTGTTTTTATTTCCAGTCATTTAAAGATATAGATTATGTTGTCAAGGACAGAGTATTGCTGGAATATCTGTTTGATATTGAATGTTTTGAAGTGGCAGACAGAGGATATTTTTACAATGGTAGTTTTTCTTTTTTAAATTTTCTTTTTAAAAAGATTATAATTTTGTCTACTATAACAACACTTTCATATTTTAACGATTCAGTGCAGGGCTCCCAAAGGGTCAAATTTTTTAGCATGGAATTTTTAGTCACAACTTTGATAAATTGTATTATAGCTGAAAATAACCATTCTAAAAATTCATGATAGCTCGTCACTACACACAAAAGCCAGTATTATTATTGCAGTCTAACTTCAGTTGATCATTATTTCTCTGGGGTCCATTCACGGAGTTTCAACGGGTCAATGGAACAGGGAAAACCTGGAATTGTCAGAAAACTCCAAAAATCAGGGAAAACTGGAATGTTTTACAAAAAAAAAACCTGGAAAATTCCTATATCATACCTGGAAAATAACCAGTTTTAGAATTGTCAGTCACTGAGATTTGAGTTAAATAATTCTAACATTTATTATAATTATTTTATAAAATTCTACTTTTTAGTGAAACTTTTCCATGTTTCCATTCTCACTCTATTATATGTTTTTGCTCACAAAATCTAATATTTGATATTTCAAATAAATCAAGTTTTTCTGATGAAAAATTGCATGGTATATATTAAATATGGTATGGGTTTTCATTGAAATATACCTGGAAAAGTGAGGGAATTTTTTCTTCTGCTTGAGTGGGAACCCTGATTCATTTTGAACAATAGGTATTGAAAGATAAAATATCATGTAATGACATGTATAAAAATAATAAAGGAAGAAAAGAAAGATGAATAAACAAATTCATTTATTGAAATGCTCTTTCTGCAAGTATTGATACTGATTCTGTTTTGCTGTCTGCATCGGTATCTTTTTGCATTTTTTCAACACCCTAAATTTTGAAATTTCCTTCAGCTGATGGATTTTCTACAAAACTGTAACTAATCTTCATTAACATCAGAAGTTTATTTTTAAAAATTAAATAATTTCAATTCTTCTTAATTTCTATTTCTGATCCATAAAAGGCAGAAAACTGTTTGTTTTTAAAATGATCAAAACAAATGTTATAAGAAATTTTTAATGGAATCGTGAAAACAAGAGAATACATGAGTAAGAAAATTTAAAGCCACGATGGATCGACAGTATTTTCTTTGAAGACTCAACTGCTACATTGTCTGGGCAGTCAGGACCCCTTTGCGACCTTTTCACAAAATTAAAATTCTAAAAATAAAAAAAAACAGCCGCTTTACCAAATTATAATTTGTAAGAACAATCCATTCACAAAGTTCAAATTCAAAAATAACCACAACTTGACTTTTATTTTAAAATTTTTTTATTTATGTATATGTGTACAGTACTTATGTACTCTGGAAAACAAATAATCTTTTAATCTTTATTTGAAGATATTATCAAGCGAAAATTAAAATATGTGTAGGACTTTTCAACAAGGCATGTAAAAAAATATAAAAAAAGTTTTTTTTTTTTTTTTTTTATATTATTTTATCAAATTTTTGCATATTACTTATTTTGAAATATTTTTGATATTAAACATAAAATATGGTCATCGCTAACACTGAATGTTTTTCATTAAATAGATTTTCTTGAAAATTTTTTCCATTTTTTGCAATAATGGGTGCCAAAAAATAACACCTGAATAGACCCCTGATGGTTCGATTTTCTAAGACTAATTAAAAATACAATATAAATTAGGTCAACAATTTCCAAAGCTTTTAAAGATCTGTAATATTTTTCACAAGACTGGTAATAATTTTTTTAAAAAATAAGTTTTCATGCTTAATAAGATTAAACTATTTTGGGGAAAAAAATGATTTCTGAATTTGAAATAACAAAAACAGTATGGTATAGAATGCTTTAATCAAGCTTTTTTTTTCTTTTTTTTTCCTTTCTTTTTTGGGAAAATAATCTATATTACAACTCACTAAAATAATGAATTACTTATGACTTATTTAATTTTTCAATATGTCGCATTTTTATGGATTGAACTACATATGTTAAATTGCATCAAATCAATTACGTGAAACGAAAAAAATTATTATAAAAAATGTAAATCAAAACTTAGTTTTCAAATTTGAATTCAACCTATTATAAGAGTGGAAGTTACTGAAAGAGTTAAAAGTTAGAAACTTTCGTTAATATATAAAAAGATATTTTATTATTTTTAATACATCAATCTGAATATGAAACTGCCAAAAAGAATGATGTACCACAAGTAATTTCTCAGACTGCGTCAGAACCCATATTTTGTTCATCCTTGAAACTGGATACAGTTTACAAAAGAACATATCTTTTGGAATAATTACAGACCCCTGTCCAGGTAAATTTACTACCGTTTAGCGGTACCTTCACAAATTCAACTTGAGGAAAAACGGTGATTTCACAAAATACTTTTAAAAAAGCAAGTTCTCATGCAAACCCCGTTCTCTTTGCAATCTGTGGAAAAGAGGAGCTTTTCCTCCAGCTGTATGAAAAGGTAGCACGTGTTTTGGTGAGATAGTGCAATGTGGTAAGCCTAGCTGGTCGCTTACGCCATATCAAAGCGAGCTTTTTTTTTTGCTGATTTTTTTCTAAAATGAAATGACGAAACTCTCCCTCTCTAAGGTGTGCAGGAAGTCTAAATTCAAACATTATTCTGAACATTCGAACATCATCTTAAACACTATTGTAAATTTATTTTAACAGACCTTTATTTTTTATAAAACATTTTTTACTCCTTGCAATTTTTTTTTTGTATGACCTAGTCGAAAATGTTCTCATAATGAAAATAACTTTTAGTGCTAGTACTGTTAAATGCATGTGTTTATTAAAGCTGAAATTTAACTATGGACAATGATTTTTATGGGTTTTTTTTAATTTGGATACAATTTTAAGGCCAAAATTTTACAATAGCAAAATTTTTTTTGAATATACGAGGAAAAATATATTGAAATTTACCAGTCACTAATGATTTTTATTTGCAGTGACAATTTTTGAAAGTCTTACTTCACCATATTTTTGCGTTTATTTTTTAATATAATTTTCTCAAATTATGTCTAAATTTTCACAAAATCTCTTAAAAAAAAACCTAGACAGACTCCCGAATTAAGGACCTGATTTTCTCTCAAAACTGATTTCAGTCCCCAGGACATGAATTAAGGGACTGAAATCAGTCTTGAGAGAAAATCAGTAGATTAAGTTTCATGAATTAATATTTTTCCAATTGTTTTTAATATTAAAATTTTTGTTTTTCTTTAAAAACGTAACATATTTTCTGTTAAATAAAAATTACATTCTAATGTTAACATTGTTAATTTTAATTATTGCAAAATGATCAAATAATGATGTAGCTCAGTAATGAAAATGAGATTGAAATTCAATACCTGCTTGCTTAAACAATATTCATAATATTGTTGTATCTAAATTTTCTTGTTTTTATTTTTCCCCAGCGTTTTGAAATGCTGGCCAAAGTCAAATTGAGATTATTATTTTTAAAAAAAATGAAATTTATACAGATAAGACAAAAAATATATAATGATGATGTGAAAAATAAGTTGAGATATCTGAAGAAAAAAAATTTGTGGTTTATTAGTCAGTGATTGATATAAAAAGATGTACTTGGTTAGCTGTAAAAAATTTATTAATAAAATGAAGGGGGAAATCTAGATAATTCATTTAATATAAGAGTCCTTATAGAAAGTACATTTTGAAGTCGATGAGCTATAAATTTCTGAAAATTCGAATAATGTATTAATTGATCAAAAAAATAAATTCAGTCTTAAAATACTTTTAGAGTGTCACCCATGCAGACAAGCTACAATGATTTACTTCTCAAGAAAAAGGAATGCTGGGTTTTTAATGGATAGTTCAGATGAACAACTAAATTAATTATTCAGAGCTGATTTGTCTCCGGAAAAAATCCGGATTTCCGGATTTTTCGCTAACAGCGATCCGGAAGTTTCCGGAGATCGAAGATCCAGACTATTCAAAAAATCATTGTTCACTGAAGTTTCCGAAAATCAAATTTAAAAGGTGGAATTTAAAAACACAATGTATTTTATTTGCTTGTAAGGGAGAGTCGGATACTTTATAAGCTTATATTCATGATCAATATTCAATTTTTTATCAGTAAATAGTTATTATAATCATAAACTCAAGAAAGAAAGACATATTTGTAAATTTTAATTACTTCTCCAGGTCATCATAGGTATGTGTAAATGGTATAGGTATGTGTAAAATTTTAAATATATTTTAAGTAANTTTTTTTTTTTTTTTTTTGAACTCAAGAAATTTTTCGGAATTTTGACTTGGGCTGACAATCACCCCTGATTATTGGAAAGAAGTATTATGAAAAATCGTAGAATTAAGTTTTTACCATCAGGAGGTCTCACATTCCGTGGAAACAATTAAGCAATTGTATCACAGTATAATGGAAATTATTTGGGAACTTTGGAACTATTGAGTAAATTTAACCCCCTTTTCTTGCCGTACATACAGAAAACTATGGAAATAAAGGCAAAGGATTTGTAATGAACATTTTTTTTTTGGATTTTATTCCAATTGAAAAGCATAAATATAAGTTCTTTTCGAGGACAAGCATGTAACTCTCCAAATATGGTCAGCAAGTTCTTGGGTTTACGAGCAAGGTTAAAATAGAAATGTCCCACCGCAATTTTTGATTTGAGCCTAGCACATAGCTTAAACTTAATTGGTGCACAAGCCGTGGGAAGAGTCTTGGAGATAATAGATTATTTCCAATTTTTACAGAAACTTTACACTTTTATCCTCCAGTTTTACCCATCGTTGAAGTATTTTGACAGAATGTTTAGGATCTAGGCTAGTCGTAAAACGTGCATCGGATACTAAACTAGACTCGATGTTCGTGGCCTTCTATTAAAAATAAAAATTTTCTTTAAAATTACCTTGTAAAAGTTCCCCAAATAATGAGAAGTCCCTGTAAACGTAAAAACTGCTCTAATTGCATTTTACACAGTCAGTCAGCGGTGACTGATGTCACCTATACAATAAGTTCAGTCACTGCAATGGTCTGAACGTTCAGTTTTGTGCACTTAAACTATGATTGCTACCAGGGCCGTCTTAATTGCATGCAGGGAACAAAAATGTTTTAGATCTCTATAACATGCCCATACTGTTTAAAAACGAACTTAAAAAACATAAAATAAATCATTTTTAAGATATGTATGATGCAATAATTTTAACAAATTTAAACACGTCATGATTACCCCCCAAAGACTCAAATAAAGCATTTTTAAACTATGCATAATTTTTATTTAAAAAAAAAATTTAAATGTTAACCTGTCAATTTCAAAACCATGGAAGTTAATTAAAATAGTTTAGTTAAATAAACATAAAGGTATAAAAAAAATTCAAAAGGTATGAATGTCAAACTAAACAGTTATGAAGACATCTTTCAATGCAAATACCTAAAATTTTCATTGGAACGTAGAAAAATTGATGTCAGTTACCCTTTTTAAATTTTCTTGGTGATAAATTATTCAAATGATGGGTGATTGCATGATAATCAATCACTATTTGTAGGAAAGCCCATTTTATACAATCGAATATATTTATTTTAAGAAATACATAAGGCAATGATTAACTGTTTTTCAATACAATTTATGAAAAGTAAGATTGTCAAAGCTCGCTGAGTGTGCCCATACGTGAAGACGGTTTGCTTCAAAATCTACACAGTGTCAATGCAGAATTGTGAAAATTGGGTAGAAAAATATCCTTTTTTTAAAACCTAATTTGTTTTTTAATTCTTTTAGAAATTAATTATTTCAAACAAGATGTGTTAAAACTGAGCATGATTTTGTGTTGCAGATGATGGTCGTTCTTTTTCCAATGTGATGTTTTATGGGAATGAATCTATACTCTTGTTATTTGATGTCCTCCTCTTCACTGCCATTGATATTGCATCAACAGATTTTGTTCTTTCTGCCATCCTCACTTTTCTTATTGCAAAGGTCTATTTGTTTTTAGTTTTGTTTACTTCTCTTTCAGGGTTGTCACCCCACAGGAAAAACCTGGAAAATACAGGGAACATCACCTAAAATAACAGGAAATTTTAAGTTTTTCTTTACAAACTGGGAAAATACAAGGAATTTTAATATTTGTTTTTGTCTTTTAAATCACTCAAAGCAGCTGTGAGACCATGATATTTCAGCTATACTAAACTATTTCATTTAATAAAGTATGTTCAGCTGTTTTTCCCTCAATTAAAACTAATAAATATAAGTTAGCTCAGACAAGAGCACAGTAATTATTGTTTCTTCTTAATATAGTAGTGTGTATAATATGTACAAAGAAAACACAGGAACAGATGGTGTAAAAACAATTCATGAATGATAAATAAATAAGTAATAATGTTTTTTAAACTTCCTAAAACTAGATCATTGATACCTGAGGTTCTTCAGAAAGAGCTCTCTCAATACAAACCACTCATAAATATTTTCAATACATTTGAATCTACTTATTTGTTTTTTTAATATTTTGGTATTTTTCGGAATTTCTTTTTTTGCATGCGGTTACTGGGAGAGGTTTTAATCTCTACTGAAGGTTGTTCTTCAGTACAAAATCTTCCCACACTGGCTGCAGTCAGTGTGACCACATGGATCAGTTTGTGTAGGGTCCTTGTTAAAGTGCTCGACTTAGCGTGCAGGTCGTCAGGCTACCGTAGCGGGGGTGCCATCCCCTCTGCGGAGGATCAAAATTTTGATGGTATATCTTCGGATCATCCTCAGGGATGTTTCCCTAACTGTCGCCTATAGCCCATTGTGCGGCCTAAATGAACTACTACTACTCAGTACAAAGTTTTTGGAAAAAATTCTGTGCTTCCAAAAGTGGTCATGAATAAAGGAGGTCGTTCCTGGAGGTTTCACTGTATCTACACAACACAATAAATATATATATACGTAGCATATTTGTCTAGGTGCGCAGCATTTTAAAGAAGTGCTTTTTTTATATCCGTTTTTAGAAAGTAGTTTGTTTTTTTTTTCCTTTGGATTTTGTAAAAAATGCTTAATTTCCTTTGCTTGAATAATTTTAAATTATGACCTGATGGAACTTTTTCATTGGTTACCAAATACGATTCTGTACAAAATTATGGGAAAGAATTTTGTATACTTTTTATGAATACTTAGTATGAAAGTACTAATTTAATTGCTCATATCTTGTTTAATTTTTAACGAACTTTTTTTTTTAAATTTTAAAATGATAATTTTGTTATTAATAAAAAATTGCTTAATTTTTTTTTTACTTTATTAAATATTTTTAGTTATAGCGAAAGAAAAAATAGACAAAATTAGTTTTTTTATTTAATTAAACTGTCCGTTTTTCCATTAATATTCAAGCTAGGCTAATGAAATTTTATGCAATTGTTGTATATAGTAAGTAGCCAAAGTAATCAAAGCAAGTTACAAGTTTATTGCTGTATTTTATGACAGTGGCTATTCAAAAAAAAAACTTTTTTTTTTTTACTCATAATTTATATCTAGTCCATCAAGCCTCTGAAGCCTTAAAACTACACTGATAATAAGTATGAGAAATCGCATCACCTAAACACCTTTAAAGTTATAAAATAATAAGTGTTTTTTGAGAAATTTAAAATATTTTGTGTCTCATCATTTGTTGTAGGGTTATGAAAAACTTTAAACAATTGTAAAAAACTGCATACCTTAATTATATATTCTTAACCTAAAAAAGTGCTTAAAAGGTGTCCATTTTTATGTAAAAAAGCGCACTCTGTGCATTCTTCCTGTCCTCCATGCGTAACATATTTATTTTACTTACTTTTATTCAGGTTCTTCAAGGTTTGAGGCGGAGTGCTGGAAGACGTAATTTAGTGAGGAAAGCTTTGATTGATGAGCGATTCCTGACATAACAAAGCCTTCTGTAAAATACTTTATTTAATGTTGAAATTGCAATTTTTACTTTAGTACGAATGCAGTTTTAATTTTACTTGACCATTTTATACTTTCCATTGTAAAATATTTCATTTTGAATCCATCCATAAAAGTGTGCTAAATAAAGAAAAAAAATATTGCTCATAAATTGTAACATTTCTCAAAAATGATAAACTTTTAAAATCATCAGATAACCCTCTACTTCCCTAATAAAGAACCAAACTTTTTGGAGCCATCTAAATTTTTCACCTTATTATATCCCTTCCCCTCCAATGGTCAGTCAAAATATTGTTCTCTCCATTTTATTGATTTTCTCACAATTTTATGTCCATTATCTGATGTGTTAACTTTGTCATCTAGCTGTTAAAAATTCATATCCTTGCTGGCATTAGGGCGGAATTCAGATAAATTTATGCAATTACTACTATGGTTCAATTAAGCCAATCAAAAGCCTGCATTTTTGCAATGTGTAAAAATATAAACTTTTGATTGGCCAAATTTGTCCGCCTTCATTGCGAAAATTTAGCAGAATTCGGCCCTTAGAAAGCCATGAACTTACAAAATATAGATTGTGTTCATACGATAGATCAATGAAGAGACTCGCATAAAGCTGACAAATTTTACACTGTACTGATATTTTGTTGAAAAAAAGTTCATTAAAGAAGGAAACGTAAAATAAACTTTCTATTTTATTTGGGGGCCTCCTTTGATGTGGGGGCCCAGGGCAACTGCCCTGCATGCCTCTGCCTTAGTCAGGCTCTGTCAGGGGATAATAGATTATGTGAAAGAATGTGATTTATGATGCTATAGTGGATCCCGTATTCACCAACACGGATTACCACCGGGTAATCTATGGGTAAGAGTAAAATCACGAGTTTAGTGCGAAACGTTATTCTCCAGCCGAAATTTCGCCAAACTCGCAGATTTCATCGACAGTTCTGACTCTCCGGGTAACCCTCTGTTTTTGCCAAGTTATCGAAGGGTAACCTATTCACGAGGAGCTTGTAAACAAAAAAGATGGAGGATTCTATCGCTGCGTTTGAGCTTGAATTTCTTGAAACTGTTGAAAGAAGGGAAAGATATGTCCCAACTATCAGAAATAATGACCTGAAAGAGTTAGATGAAATAGACTTTTTTGAAAGATATTGTTTCTTAAAACCGACGATTGAAGAACTGATCTCCAAAATTGGCAGTAAGTTGGAATCTGATACAGATCGGAACAATGCCTTAACTCCAACGGAAAAAGTTTTAACTGCTGTAAAAGATTTTATGAATTTGGAAACCAGCAAATAACATGTTTATATTATATAACAGCACGTGTTTATATTATATACAAAGTCACATGGTTTTACCTTGCCCAATCAAGGGCCTCGTTATATTTCCTGCAAGAGTTAAACTCGAGTTGTGAAATCCTCTGTTGAAAACGGTTGGAGAATAAAAAGCGAGGGTTAATCCGAGAGTAACTCTGAACCTTGGATATTCCGATCCCCGAGTTACTCTTGAATTTAACTCGGCGTGGTGAATACGGGTGTAAAAGTTTTGTGGAAGGATCAGAGTTAAGACATTATCCAGTAATATTTTAAGCGTGTTTTATTGATTAACCAACATTTATTTAATGTTTTGTTTATTTTTACAATTAATTAATTACCAGTGAAGATTAACAAAAAAAAATTTTCCTGACACTATATTGAAGGATATGCATTTATAAAAAAAAAAGCAATATTACATGGTGCGTAGCATATTTAAAAAGTGCTTAAAGGTGCTTATCTTCAATTTTTGTTTTTTGAAAGTCCTTAAAGGTGCTTTTTTTCCTGGGGTGTTTTTAAAAAGTGCTTCATTTTCAGTTTTCGAAAAAGAGATTTATTTCCCATGTCGATTTTCGCCACGTATTATGCAAAAGTGTGCTTTTCACAATGTTCTATTCAACATTTTTAAAATTCATTCAACCACATTCTAATTTGGCGTACCATCGGTCCATAACGTATGAAAGTGCTAATTATTTTACATGTCTATTGAGCAGGGATCGTTGAGACTCTTGCACTCTCACGTGCAACTCTGCTGCATTTTACAAGATATTCTCAATTTCCGGCTTCATCCCCTCCCCCCACCGAAATCGAACCGATAAATCTCTCGATCATTTTATAATGGCTAATGTAATCAAGAAAAGAGTTCTTTGTCAGAAACCAGTCATTTATCATGATCATCTAAAGTCTGTGAAAATTATTTTGCATTTTGTTAATGTATGGAGTGCTTAAAAAGTGCTTACTTTTTGTTGAGAGATTTGGTATTAGTACTTCCCATCCAAATTTTCAATTAAAAATAAAATAACTGTAAAGAAATATTCTCAAAGCAGATCTTTTTCATTTTCAGTGTCACTTTTTTAATCACAAAATACAAATGTGCCCATCCTGAATCTGTAAATGCCACTGTTGGACATAAAAGTAAAATTTCTGCATTACAATAACCTATGAACTTCTCAATAATTGTGACTTTCCTGCCTTGTTCCTACATTTTTGAGACTAGAATGATGACACAATTAATTAGGATTAAATAAATAAGTAATGACTAGAACTCATGAATGTGAGGGAATTTTAAACACTAGATATTTAATTAGCTCTTAAAATTAAATGCTCTGACACATCCTTAGGGCACATATTTCTCCATAAGTTAAGGATTGATTGCATTAAGACTTGAAATGAGAGTTGCAAATTGTTAGGGATCGCACCAGCTATGAAAACTGAGTGGTCCAATAGGACCAAGAAGGTAGTGGTTCAAAAAATTGAGAGGGTAGACAAACTTGAGAAAAATCAAACTTTACAATTCAGGGGTCTGTCCAGACATTTTGTGAAAAGTCCGTTTTTGTAAAATTGTGGAAAAAAAATGACTCGTAATTTGTAAATATAAAATAAATTTGTTATTTCAATTTAATAATCATTGAAACTTTGTTTGATGTTTTTTTTTTTTTTTTTTNTTTTTTTTTTTTTTTTTTGTTTCATTTCAACTTAAGTTAATTCTTCATCCCAGTGATACTTAAAACATCTGCTTAAAAACATTTTATTTGTGCTCAAAATGTTTTTCCAAGCCTTTTGCGTAAAAGTTCTCCAAATCTATTCTAATTAATCTTAGATATATGCCACATTTTTCACTCAAAATCTGCTCTAAATTTACAAATTTCTTTGGATTTTCTCGAAAAATAGTTGTTTTCAATTGGTTTAGCCACTCTTGTATGTGTAAAATTGCTACCCCAAAACACAAGCATTTATTTTTAAATGAAACGTGCGTAAAATGACACTCTGAATAACGTTTGATTTAAGAATAGGTTTCTTACTGATTCAACGATGCTAATTAGTTAGTGCAGTATACCGGGATGGCTCAGAGCGTTCGCCTTCGAATTAGGCGAACCTAGTTTGAATCCCAGTCGATATAAAATCCGCATGCCCCGACCCCCTTGCCGTCAGGCTAACCGTGGGCGGTTCGCATTGTCTTCCTCTCCATGTAATGCAAATGCGGGTTAGTTCCATCAAAAAGGCCTCCACAAAGGCAAGTTTTTCCCAATACTTGATCCAGGAGTTCCTTGTCTTCTGGATCGGAAATGACAAGGATACGGAGCTAAACATTAGTAGTCGTAAACCCAAAAAATTGGGTCGGCTGCTCAACACCGGTTATAAAATATAATTACTTAGTGCAGGTTACATTTTGAGATACGAAGTTTATGCACATAATTGTACTTTCCCTTAATAAACATACCTTTTTCTTTTTTAGACAAATTCGGATTCTTAAAATATTGCGGTAGCCTCCATCTGGAAAATATAGTCCCAATATTTTAAAAGCAGGAGAGAAGCCCAAAGTTTTTTGATCCATTTATGTTTGCATAGTTTAATAATTTGATTCCTATTTTTATTGTTTCTCAATAATCGACTCACTCAATAGTTATAAAGTAAGTTTTAAAAAAGCCTAAAAAGTTTTATGATCTCCATTATGAGGAATATTTGCTCTGTATTACATAGCCATTATATATAATGTACAACAACATGTGAAAAATAACACTATTGAAATCTTAATGAATAACTGAAAACTATTTGATTGCAGACTGAGTTGTCAAACAAATTTTGATTTGTCCGATAGAGACATTTGTTAAGGCCTCTGATGTTTCTAAGAAAAGCTCTACAAACTGTTAATAATGAGTGTGTGCAATTTTATAAAACAATTTTTATCTTCAGTCTACAATATGTACTCTAAATCAGTTCCGAAAATGAAAAGAAAGGAAAATAAATTATCTAAAGAGACTTGCTCAGGACAGCAAATAAATATTTTCGAGTGGTAGTTTATTAATGTGTAATCCTTAGTTTAAAAAATTCAATTTATTAGGTTTTTATCCCCCACTATTTCTAAATAATTCTTATGTAATTCGCCACTTTTTTACATGCTACACCAGTGTTTCCCTACGTGGGGCCCACGCCGCACTGGGGGGCAATTCGAAAATGGAGTTTTACCTATTTGCTCCGGGCCATTTAAATACAATGCTAGATTTCGGTGCCAACATTGTAAGAAAAAAAGCAAATTCTTAAATAATTCGGTCAATGAATATTATAAACTCGTTTGATGAGACCAAAATATCAACTGGATTTTTGACGTCGTCAAGTTAACTAACCTCCCTGCGGCATATGGCAGGCTCCGCATAGACCCCTTGACGCTTTAAAATTTCGCTAAACAATGCAGTTGTTCGCATCTGAATGGCCCGTCGCAACTTCTGTAGTGTTTCGCAACATTCAGTGATAGAAATCAATACCATACTATGTCTTTTATGCCTGCAATGCAACAGTAAAGTCTTTATTTACTGCTCACACTTCAACCCATAATTGTATTCTTGAGGCTAGTTATGAAATTTCTTTATTCATCGCTAAATTTGGAAGAAATCATACTATAGGAGAGAATTAAATAAAACCGTCAATATCAGCATTTCTTAAAACGGTTCTTGAAAAAGATGTAAAAGCTATGCCACTCAATAACAATACTGTTAGC